CACACCCACACGCAAACGCACACCCACACGCAAACGCACACCCACACGCAAACGCACACCCACATCCACAACCACACCCACACGCAAACGCACACGCACACGCACACGCACGCACACGCACACGCACACGCAAACGCACACTCAAACGCACACGCACACACAAACGCACACGCATACGCACACGCACACACCTGCGGACACAGACGTACAACACGCACACACCTGCGGACACAGACGTACAACACGCGTGCATGGCTGACCCGAATGTATCGTTCTTCTGAGTGCCCGTGTTATTTCTGAAAAGGACAAATCGGTGTACGTATCGATTGGTGTGTTAGTGTGTGTATGTATGTAGCCAATGTGTGCATGTGTGCTCCTAGGCTATGTTTGTTTGCGGATTCGGGAGCAGGGTAGTGTGTGACGTAATTGTACCTGTGTGCATGTGTGCTTTACTACAAGGTTGCTTATATATGTGTCTTTGTTTTAAGTTGTTTATCGCCCATTCATCTGATACCTAACTGCGCGGGGCGACACGTGGGGTGGGTATGGGTGTACTGGCACGAGTGTCTCGCATATACAATAGCAGTATGTATTGGTAACATGAGCAGTATGTATTGGTAACAACAATAGTATGTATTTGTAACATGCACAGTATGTATTGGTAGTGTGTAACACGTATAGTATGTGTTGGTAGCATGAACAGTATGCATTGGTAACAAAGAACAGTATGAGTATGAATTGACATGATTCCTTCACTTTGTTACTATGTCCACAGCTGCTCTTGTCGTGGCCAGCCAGACCCGCGAGATTCGATAGCCGAAGGAATATTCACTACAGTAAGTGTACACCGAAATCTTGTTCCTATGTATCTTATGTTACTGTGTGTGTACTATGTATCTAAGTTAGTCCTATGTATCTATGTTACTATTTGTTGACCATGTATCTATGTTACTATGTGTGTACTATGTACATACATATATACACACATACATACATATATATATTGATATATACATACATTGATACATACATACATATATGCATACATACATACATACATACATACATACGTACACATACATACATACAAACATACATACATACATACATACATACATACATATATACATACATACATATATATATATATATATATATATATATATATTTATATACATGTATACATACATACATACATCCATATTTACACACATACACATACCTACATACATGCATACATACAAATATGCATACATTTATACAGTGTGAGTGTGTGTGTATCTATGTTACAACCCAGCCTGACGAACGGAAATATTGTACCAAACCAAAGTTAGCAGTGCTGAGATTCACCGTCGCATTCCATGAATCGGAAACATTCTCTACCCCTCATTTTGAACTGATAGGTGTCTGGTGCATATTTAGTTGGAAGTCAATAGACAGACGCTACTCTCCATCTGTACCGCATAGAAACCTGGTTTGGTCCTTAATATAAAACTTGGTTTTGCTTCCGCTTCCTCCATGGGCGAAACAGGGAAGGGACTCAATTCCGCGTCGGACGACGCGTTCCTCAACAAGTCCAATGACAGCCACCCCACTCATACCGGTGTAGCTCCCTCGGCCAACCCGAGCGTATCCATGGCAACCGGCAACCGAACCTACCAACGCGTGCACTCGCCACTGTCCACCTCACCGTCCAAGGAAGTCCCACAGAATGTCCCAGGTGCAGAGAAACCGTATATGGAAACATTTGAGGGCTCGGGTGTGGAGGATACACCCCATAGTCCACTCACTTGGAGTCTGAGCATGGTCACCAATGATGCTCCAGGCAAGTCCCTGTTATGTGTCTGTGGAATGCATGTGGGTAGTTATAGATGTGTGTTGGATGTATGGGAGTTTCCAGGTGGTTGCAAATATGGCTTGTCTCTGACCACCTTCTGGAGACAATTATCGAAAGTATTTGTCCTGGTACGTTGGTTTGTTTGTAGTGTCTTGCATTCGTACTGTGGTAATGCCCTTGTCTCCGACTACCTTCTGGAGACCAGTATCGAAAGTATTTATCCTGCTATGTTGGTTTGTTTGTAGTATCTTGCATCCGTACTGTGGTAATACCCTTTAGCCTAGAGAGTCCATTGCCAGTTGTTAGTTCGAGCGCCGTGTCGCACAAGGCGTGAGTTGCGCTGGTGTGTATATAGCACTTACGGTGTGCAGAGCACATATATCGGGCACCTGCACACTGCCTGATACATGTACACTGGCTGATAGATGTATAAGTATACTGTATGCCTGATATGAGTATAAATATTCTATAAGCCTAATACATGTACAAGTGTACTGTAAGCCTGAGATATGTACACTGGCTGATACATGTATAAGTATACTGTAAGCCTGAGATATGTATAAATATTCTATAAGCCAAATACATGTATAAGTGTACTGTAAGCCTGTGATATATATAAATATTCTATAGGCCTAGTACATGTATAAGTATACTGTAAGCCTGAGATATGTATAAATATTCTATAGGCCTAATACATGTATAAGTGTATTGTAAGCCTGATATGAGTATAAAAATATTTTAGGCCTGATACATGCATCAGCATAATGTAAGCCTGATATATGTATAAATATACTGTAAACCTGATACATGTACACTGGCTGGTACGTGTATAGATGCACTGCAAGTCTGACACATATATAAATATACTGTGGGTCTGATACCTATATAAATATACTGTAAATCTGATACATGTACACTGACTAGTACAGGTATAGATGTACTGTAGGATGATTCTGGGGTCAAGGGTATTTCATGTCTATGTTTATTCCTCTGGCGTTCTGTATTTAGAAGCTACAGAAAGAGTGCATTGTGTCCCATTTGTGGTGCTTACAGTTGTATCGTGCTGTGAGAGCACTTTTTGTGTCTGAGGATGGGCATCTTGTTACACGAACGAAAACGAAGTGTATATATGACGTTTCTGCACACAGTTGAATATTTCATAGTAATAATAAAAATAACTATTCCAATTCAAGTAGATAGTCTATGGGTCTGATTTTATGAATGTCTGATTGTGCTGATTGTTTGATTGTCTTAGACCCCATCCACTCATCACATAGATGAGTAGTCCTTACCCGCTGATTGTGAAGCCTTCCTCAACTGTCTGTATTGACCCCATCCACTCGTCACATAGCTGAGCAGTCCTTACCCGCTGATTGTGAAGCCTTCCTCAACTGTCTGTATTGACCCCATCCACTCGTCACTATAGCTGAGCAGTCCTTACC